GGGGAGGGTCGCTCTGCGGCAGCCGCAGCGGCGGGGCGGGGAGTGCGGGGAGGGGGCTCCCGGTGCCCGGCAGCGCGTCCCGTCTCCCCCGCCCCGCTGCCGGCGCGGACTCACGTCTCGGAAGCGGTTCCAGTGCTTGATCCTGCCGCCGTACTGGGAGATGGACGAGAGCCACTGCTCGTCCTCCATGAAATTGCCGGGGCTCTCCCCCGCCGCGGCGGGCCCGGGGCCGGTGGCGGGGCCGGCGGCGGGCCCGGGGCCGGCGGCGGCGGCGGGCAGGAGCAGGGCCAGCAGGGCCAGCAGGGCGCGGCGCCCGCCGCAGCCCCGCATGCTGCCGCAGCGCCGGGGGGAGCGGGCGCGGTGCGGAGCGGTGCGGTGCGCACGGGGAGGCGCCGCCGGCGAGTGCGGCCGCGGGGCGGCACCGGGCGGCACCGGCGGGAGGGCCGGGGCGGGGCCTCCGCCGCGCCCGCCGCACCTGCGCGCCGGCAGCGGGGCGGGGGAGCCGCCGGCACGGCACGGCCGCAGCACCGGTCCCGCTTCTCTCCCCATCCCGCACCCCCGTCCCTGACCTGAACCCGTCCCGCGTCTCTCATCCCGCATCCCCCGCCACACCCCCATCCTGAAGTCCTCGTCCTGCACTACCGCGTCCCCATCCTGCATTCCCCATTCTCCATTCCCTGACACACCCCCTTCCCCGCATCCTCTGTTCTGCATTCCTGGGCTCTATCCGGTCTCCATTCCACCTCCCCCATCCTGCATCCACTGTCACACCCCTATCCTGCACCCCTCATCCCTGGTCCACACCGTGTCCCCATCCTGCATCCCCATCACATCTCCATTTTCCATCCCCCATCCTGCATCCTTGGCCCCCACCCAGTCTCCACCCCACATCCAATGTCCTGCATCTCTTGGTCCCTGGAATGTTCTCATCCCACATCCCTGCCAGATCTCTGTCCTACATCCTTCATCCAGCATCCCTGGTCCCTGCTAGGTGTCCATCTCACATCCCCTATCCTGCATCCCCTGCTACATCCCCATCCAGCACCGGTCAGCCCACATCCCTCATCCTTACCATGTATCCATCGTGCATCTCCCATTCCATCCACATCTCTGTGTACCCCATCCTGCATTCCCAGTCCCTACTGCACCCCAATCCCACAGCCCCTCATCCCTGCCATATTCCTGCATCTCCCATCCTCCAACCCCTCTCCCTGCGATGCTCACACTGCGGTCCCCATTCCTCAGCCATCCCAGCACAGCATCTTAGGGCTCCAGGGAAAAATCCCACCCCTTTCCCAAGGTTCTGCTTTTGGATTTTCCCCTCTTCTCAGGCGGGGGAAATCAGGGTAAGCAACAAGTAACAACTCACCCCAGCTGCAGCTCCTTCACAGCTTCAGCTGGGGATGCCACAGCACACATACAGCTTCTCATCTCCCTGCCAGGACACTCAGGATGGGAAGGATAACTGCCAGCAAACCCCAGTGATGACAGGGAAAAGATCAGAATCCTTAATTCTGCCTGGAGAAGAAGGTGTGAAATGAATTTTGCTGTGCTAGGCTAGAGCAGCGGGGTAAGCTGCTTACCAGCGAAATTCAACCAGCTTCCTAAAGAATTGTCACTAAAACATGTTTACACAAGTGGCAAGAGGAGGAGCACGCTCCAATTGTCAAAAACCCGTGTTTGCCTCAGCTTCTCGGTGAGAGCCGTTAAAAACTCGTCAGGCAGAAGCTTCCCAAGGTGCATCTCCCCTTTCCTGGTGGCTGCGTGAGCAGCTCCCGGGTCTGTTCCAAAGAGATTTTCCAAGTACCTCTTGAGGCTGGCGGAAAGATGACAGCAACCGGTGTTAAGTGCTCTCAGCACCTCCCTGTGAGCGTGTGCTGGTGCTCTGCTCCCCGAGGGAGCCGTTTGGAAGGCGGCTTTCGGAGAGCACAAAGGCGTTCTGACGCCAAGGAAAAGGACACCAACAGCCCAGCGGCTGTAGCTGGGTACAAGCAAGGGCACCCAGCAAAAGCACAGATGATTTGATTGCCTGATGTGCAGGCTTGAAAGCAGACAGGCAATTTGGTCTGTGAAACATAAACAGCATCACATTTGGGGGGCAAAACCAAAAGCAATCCCAATTCCTGAATGACTCCCACTGCTGTTTGTGCATGACCAAACAGCCAGCTCACTCTGGAGGTGAGAAATGGGGTGAAGACCTCTTAGAAATGATCACTAGGATGTGTGGGTTCTGCTGGAGCACCTGGCTGAGACACTTTCCACCTCTAACACAGCACGATTCCATATCCACAGAAGCAACTAGGCATGGGCAGCAGCACCTGTTTTGTTATAAAACAGCCAAGCACCAGCACCTTCCAGTTTTCAAAGTGTTCATCCTAGGGCAAATTGAAATCCTGTGTTGCTATTTTTACCAAATGTGGAAATTTACAGGAAAAAACAACGTTGTCTTGAGATCTCTGAAGGATTCACAATGGAATCAAAGAGCTTGGTGCTGCTTTTAATGGAGAAACCACCTACAAGGCATATGTTTTTTGACACGCTCCGAAACGGTCACTGGAAAGAACTCTAACCATCGATGCCTTCTTATTATCATAGTTATGTGCTGTGCTGGAAGTTTAATTACAGAAACTATCAATGCAACAGGAGATAAACACTTTGCTTTTGAAGGGAATTAATTTATTTGGAGATCTACATCACACAGGCACGCTGCTGGAGATCCAAAGCAATGCCTGACCTCAATATCGTTAAATCGTGCTCCGGGAAGCTCTCCTGGATTTTAAATACTTATTTTAAGAACAAACTTCCTTCTTATGAAAAAAAAAAAAAAAAAAGCCACATTTAAACATCAGTGATGCCCCAAAAGCCCCAGTTCTAGTTGTTTTCTTGGAAAACCAGCAATCCACAGATACCAGAGGCAACTTTGTGACATTTTGGGGAAGGGAGGAGGCAAGACTCTGGCAACCCCCAAGGAGAGGGCAGTGGGAAAAGCAGCAGGGAAATGCCATGGTTCCCATGCTTTGGAGGAGTCATGAGGCATCCCAGCTTGGAGCTCCCAGGTTCCCACTGAAGATTCACGTCCTATAAAACCTTTCACTGAGGGATCACGCACACAGGGCTGCCTCAAGAGAAGCACAGCTGCCCAGATGTTGCGTAGTAGCCAGAGGCATCCGAGGAGAACCTCTGGGAGAGACGCACCGAGTCCAGCTGCACCTCCCCGAAGTGGAAGTTCTCGAAGAGCTGAAAGGAAGAAGAAAAAAAAAAAACACTTGAAGGGCTCCAGAGGAATGGAGCCTGCAGCCAGCCCACAGCTCTCTCACAGGAGCTGGACCTGCCAAAAGCCTTTCCTCACAGATTGATTTTGCCTTTAAATGAAAATGTTCTTTACGTTATTTTTCCCACTAAAGACTGCACTTGAACTCTTTTTATCTACCGTAGCAGCTGCTCAAGCCTCCCCTATTCTGAGGGAGCATGGGGAAGCTGTTCACTGCACCCCCAGGTGGCTCTCAAGGTGGCAGGCTCTGCAGGAGCAAGGTTTGAGGCCAGGAGGTTTGCACTGATCCAGGCCACAGGATGCAGGACTTACCAGCTACAGCTGAGTCCTAATTCAAGCTAGCAGGCTGGAGGCACAAGGCTCCTCATGCCAGCACTGACCCCGCTTTGTTCAACAAATCCGTCTTTGTTCGGCAAAGACTTGAGTGCAAATTAAGGAAAGCAAGCCAGCTCCAGCGCCCAGGGGGTGTGTCCCTTGCCCATTAATCCAATCCACGAAGCAGACCAAAAAAAAATGACATCAGAATTTCTTACAAGAAGTTATTGCTGGAAAAGCATCGTGTCCAAGCGTAAAGTGCTCCTCCCATTCCATTAAGCAGCAGGAAATTGCTGTACCTGGGAACATCAGCTGTGCCTCAGGAAAAGCTTCTCGGTGGAGATGCTAATTTGGAAGCTCTGTTTAACAGGAGAGCTGTGAGTCACTGAGAACCTGAGCAACGACTTCTCCCCACCTTGGAGATCTCCAAAATGTCCATTCCATCTGTCTCCTATTCAATTTTCTATCTGTCCCTGCAGGCGTGGGCTTGAGACAGTCCCACAGCCCTTCCTGCCCTTACAGAAGGCAAGAAGGAAAGCCAACACCCTTAATCCTTCTGGAGCCAATGGTGCATCAATTCCTCCATAGAGGGAATGACTGAAATCCCAAATAACTACTTAGCATCTGAAAGGCTGCACTTCACCTCCTCCAAAGAGGCATTTGGCTCTGCCTGGCACTGATTTGGGCACAACTGCTCTTTTGTTGGTTCTCCCAAGAGTATTCTATTTCGTAAATACCCTTTTTTTTCCCCTTGGAGGAGACCAGCTAGCTTTCTTCCAGGACTATTCCTGGGTTTGCTGTCGTTCCACAAAGGAAAAGTGCAATAGGGAAAGTGATTCCCTGCCTGTCTTGGGGCAGAGCAAGAGACCCCGGGGCAGCAGCGTGGCCTCAAGGGACACTGAGTGGTGGCTCCACGGGGTCAGTGCCCTAAAGAAGAGCAGCCTGCAGAAAAGAAGCTGTGCTAAGGAAGCATCTCAAACGGGGAGAGGAGGAAAAGAGAGGAAGAGAAATGACGACAGCCACACAAACTCCATTTCATACAATTAAAGATTTATACAAGAAAGATTAATTATGTTCCCAAAAGCCTGCGTCGTTCATGTTGGAGGACTTAGGATAAAATGTCTCATTAATAAGAGATGGCAGTAAAAAGGGGTTGGTCACCTTTCTCTTTTTGTTTTGGCTGACCTCAGAAGGAAGGATGGTTTCCTGCTCTCTGGGGCTCCCTGCAGTGCTCTGCCACTGTGCCCACTCACCCCAAACCTTAACACCTGTCCCTGTCACAGTGGCTGCTCAGACTGTCACTCCTTTCCATCACAGAGCACTCTCCACCCAGGAAAAACAGAAATCACCCCTCTCTTGATTCCTAACAGAATTAGAATTAACCCCAGGTGTGCTGGTAAGCAAGGAGTATGAGGGTTTGAAGAGGGCCCCCTCCAGTGCCCAAAGGGGCTGGACAGAGACTTTGGACAAGGGCATGGAGTCATGAGACAAAGAGGAATGGCTTCCCACTGCCAGAGGGATTCAGATATTGGGAAGAAATTCCTCCCTTTGAGGTGGTGAGGCCCTGGCACAGGGTGCCCAGAGAAGCTGTGGCTGCCCTGTCCCTGGAAGTGTGCAAGGCCAGGTTAGATGGGACTCGGAGCACCCTGGTGTCCCTACCCATGGCAAGAGGGATGGAACGAGGTGCACTTTAAGATCCTTTCCAACACAAACCATTCCAGGATTCTATAAAGAAAACAAATTAAATGCTGGGACGTGCCAGACCCCATCAGCAGCGCTAGAAGTCAAACTTTTCCACAAAATAACCAGAGGAAGAGTTTATTTTATGTTACTGCTGCACATCACAACCTGGTTTTCCTACTAAACTCACGTACTTCAAAGCCAAAACTAGTTAATGAGACAAACCCTGTGCCCTGTTTGCCTCACAGAGCCTCAGGCACATCACAGCAGAAGGATGACTGGG